TGCCGTGCCCGGCTGTGCTGTACTGTGTCGTATTGTGCCGTGCCCTGCTGTGCTGTGTGGTGTCGTATTGTGCCGTGCCCTGCTGTGCTGTGCTGTGTCGTATTGTGCCGTGCCCGGCTGTGCTGTACTGTGTCGTATTGTGCCGTGCCCTGCTGTGCTGTGCCGTGCCCATGCTGTGCTGTAAGCTGGTCGTATTGCGTGCCCTGCGTGGCGTCTGTGTCTGTGTGCGTATTGTGCCGTGCCGATTGTGCTGTACTGTGTCTATTGTGCTGTGCCCGCTGTGGTCTTGTGCGGTGTCGTTTGTGCCGTGCCCTGCTGTGCTGTACTGTGTCGTATGTGCGTGCCCGGCTGTGCTGTATGTGTCGTATTGGCCTGTGCCCTTGCTGTGGGCTGTGCGTGTCGTATTGTGCCGTGGTCCCTGCTGGTGTCTGTACTGTTCGTAGTTGTGCCGTCCTGCTGGCTGTACTGTGTCGTATTGTCCGTGAAACCGGCTGTGCTGGTAGCTGTGTCGATATTGTGCCGTGCGCCGCGTAGCTGTGCTGTGCTGTGCCGTGCCCTGCTGTGCTGCTGTGTCGGTAGTTGTGGCCGTGCCGCTGTGCTGTACTGGTGCGTATTGTGCCGTGCCCTGCGTGGCTGTGGCGGGTGTCGGTATTGTGCCGTGCCCTGCTGTGCTGTACTTGTGTCTTATTGTGCCGTGCCCAGGCTGTGGCTGTTACTGTGTCGTAATTGTGCGTGTGCCTGCTTGTGCTGGCGTGTCGTATTGGTGCCGTGCCCTGCTGTGCTGTAGTCTGTGCGTATTGTGCGCCGTGGCCCTGCTTGCTGTGTGGGTCTATGTATGGCCGTGGCCCTGCTGTGTGTACTGGTGTCGTATTGTGCCGTGCCCTGTCTGTGCTGTACTCGTGTCGTATTGGGCCGGTGCCGCTGCTGTCTGTCTGTGTCGTATTGTGCCGTGCTCCATATCGCTGGCCGTGCCGTGCCCTGGAATGCTGTGCGTGCGGTGTCGTATTTCGTGCCGTAGCCCTGCGTGCTGTGCTGAATGTCGTATTGTGCCGTGCCTGCTGTCTGTGCTGTGTCGTATTGGGCCGGTGCCGCTGTGCTGTATCTGTTCGTATTGTGCGTGCCTGCTTGTGCTTGTGCGGTCTGTGCTGTGCTGTTGCTGTGTCGTATTGTGCGCGTCCCTGCCTTGTGTCTGTGCGTGCCTGCTGTGCTGTGCTAGTGTCGTATTGTGCCGTGGCCGCTGCTGTGCTGTGGCTGTGTCGTATTGTGCCCGTGCCCTGCTGTGTCTGTGCTGTGCGTATTGTGCCGTGCCCTGCTGTGCTGTGCTGTGTCGTATTGTGCGTGCCTTGCTGCTGCTGTGCTGTGGTCGTATTGTGCGGCCGTGCGGCCCTGGCTGTGCTGTGACGGTGTCGTATGTGGGCGTGCCCGCGTGCTGGTGCTGTGCTGTGTCGTATGTGGCCGTGGCGCGTGCTGTGCTGTACTGTGTGCGTATTGTGCCGTGTCGGCTCTGTGGCTGTAGGGCTGCGGTGCCAGGGTTCCTGGGGATAGCCGTACTGTGGCTGTGGTGCGTATGTGGACGGCGTGCAGCTCTGGTAGCTGGGATATGTCGTGAAGGTGCCGGTACCTGCTTCGGCTGTGGCTGCCGTGTGGCTGGCTGTGAATGTGAGGTGATTGTGCCTGTGCTGGCTCTGCGCTGTGCTGCATCACTGTGATGTGATGTGATGTGATGGCGCTGCGCTGTCGCTCGTTTTCTGTCGCTGCCATGCGGTCTGTGCTGGTGGCTGTGTGCTGTCTGTGTCTGGTGCTGTGCCGTCTGTGTGTGTTGTGCTGCGCTGTGCTGCATCTGTCGCTTCTGCTGTTGCTGTGGCTTGCACTGTCTGTGCTGCACGCGCTCTTTAGCTGGTGCTTGCCTGCGCTATCTATGCTGTGGCTGTGCTGTCTGCGTGCTGTGTCTGTACTGTTGCTTGTCTTATCTATGCTATGGCTAATGCTATGTGCTGTGCTGTTGCTGTGCTTGTGCTATGCTGTCTGTGATGTCTGTGCTGGCTGTGCTGTGCGTACTGTCTATGCTGTGGTCTGTGCTGTTGCTGGCGGATGTGCTGTGTTGCTGTGGCTGTGCGTGCGTATCTTGCTTGTGGGGGCTAGCTATGCTGTGCTGTGCACTGTGCTGTACTTGTTGCTGTGCTTGTACTGTGCTGTTGATGGCTGTGCTGTGGGTACTGTGCTGTGGAATGTGCTGATGCATGCGCTGTGCTGTGGCTGTACCTTGCTGTGGCGGCGCTGTGTTTGTATCTGCGGCTGTGTTGGCTGTTCTGTGCGTGTGTCGTGGCTGTGCTTGCTGTGCTGTGCGCGCTGTGGCTGTGTGTACTTGTGGCTGGCTGCTCTGTGGCTGTGCTCGTGTCTGTGCTGTGCTGTGCTGTGCTGTGCTGTGCTGTGCTGTGCTGTGCTGTACTGTGCTGTGCTGTACTGTACTGTACTGTACTGTGCTGCGCTGCGCTGTGCTGTGCTGCGCTGCGCTGTGCTGTGTTGTACTGTGCTGCGCTGTACTATACGGTACGGTACTGCATGTACTGTGCTGTGCTGTGCTGCGCTGCGCTGTGCTGTGTTGTGCTGTGCTGTGCTGTACTGTGCTGTGCTGCGCTGCGCTGCGCTGTGCTGTACTGCGCTGTGCTGTGCTGCGCTGCGCTGTGCTGTACTGTGCTGTGCTGTACTGTGCTGTACTGTGCTGTGAGCTTATGCCGCAGCGTGTGACTGAACGATACGAAGACGCCCGGCTAATTATTTACCGAAGCCAAAGGTGTACTGCACGCGTGATCGACGCGGCCCCGCTCTCTGAGCACAATACCAGCCATTGATCGACTACATTCATCTGATTATGTCTACAGGCCACGATCGCATTAGCCGAATTTAACGTCATTACTAAATCTTGTCAATGCGGGCAGTGGCAGCAGCGGCAGCCGTTGTAGTGGTAGTAACCATAGTAGCAGCAGTACCAGTAGTAACAACAACAGCAGCAACACTAGCAGCAGCAACCTCCCGAATTGCAGCAGCACTGTTAGCAGGAGCAGCAGCAACTGCAATAGCGCCAGTAACAGCAACAGCAACAGCAACAGCAACAGCAACGGCCACTACAGCACTGCCACCAGGTGTAGCAGAGTCAGCAGAAGCAACAGTAGAAGAGTCAAGCCCAGGAGCAGGCGTGTGTTGTGTACCAGATAGCAGGAGAGGAAGTAGTACCATGTGCCATGTGCGTCTATGTCGTGTGTAAGCCCCCATCCGATGAGATTCCCACCGTGCACGTTATGTGTGCAGCCGATGCGGGTTAAACAATTATATTGCACGAAATCCTACACGACTATGAGAATATAAGCGCAACGAAATCGCAGAAAGTCTTTCATTGAATTCGTGCTTTGTTTAGGATACGAATATATGACAGAAATGGCTGCAGGCGCGCTTCCTAATCGTTGTTGAGCTGCGCCGTATAAATTCATACGCTTATGAATACAGCACACAATTGTTTGCGTGCTTTTGAGACGACCGTGACCCGTGCTAGTACGGAAGACAACGAGGTTTGAATGCTTGCTCACGCACACACAGCTACCTCGCCTCCAGTCAGCTGCCGAAGGCGGTAGTGTGAAGCTGGACGAAATACAATAAATTCTATTTGAGACGGTTCAATATTTGTAAATTGAGCTTTGACGATGAAATGAAATATCTTCTCGCCCTTCGTGGTACGGGTCAGCGGGCAGCATGTTTGCTGAACGTACATTTCATATTGCTTTCAATAAAGTCATGTACGTATACGGATGTTATAAACTAAAATATGAACGCTTTTCATTGGGATCGTTAGACGTTGTTTATAAACGATCTCTGATTTGACACCGCGACCCACTTAAAATTGATAATTGACTTTCATGTTCGAGGGTAAATGTGTTTCCTGCGTACGATACCCTATAACATAACAACATTAACAATACACACATGGACAACGCAAAATTAAGTTCCTCTTGAGGGATTGCGATCAAACGACGTATACGTCGCCACAAAACAGCCATTTTTACATTATAAAATGAACGTAAATATTAGTAATTATATAACTGCCTGTCATATATGTGAGCGTCACACACGCACGCGCACGCACGCACGCGCGCACACACGTACGGACACGCACCCACGCACGCTCACAAACAGCAAGCAACAATTGTTTATAGTACTCTCATCTGCTAACCCGACCTATGTAAATGGCGTACTACATACATGCCCCCGGCCGCCGCATCATCAAATTGACAGCGCAAGAATTCAATAAAATTTAGAAGCAATTTGCCTATATAACTGGCGTCCTTACAGCCGGGAGTAGGCGGGCTTCTCATGTTATCGCTTCAATTTATTACGGATTCATATATCGCTGCTGCCGCGGGAACGTGGCAAGGCGGTCACGACATACGAGCTATTACAGCTGACGGAGGGGGATGTTCGCATGAGTCATCATGCGACACGTCCTCACCGTGATCTCAGCTGATGATGCCTCTCCCGACCAATTCTGAAATCTGATTAGGCTGCAATACACACGCATATGCACCTACCTGCAGACCGTTTAAAGGACGATCGTGTACATGTAGCACAGTATAATTGTATTTTTAAAACGGTTTGATTTTAATAATGAATTACGATTACAAAAGACATACATTTCCATGCACGATTTAATCCCAATATGACAATATTTGAGTAAAATATCAATTAAAAACTAAGTCGCAGTCTCCGTTACGCATTACATAGCCTCTGCTGATGCTGCTACTGCTGCTGATGCTAATGATGATGCGGATGGCGATGGTGACGTTATGGTTGCTGTTGCTGATTCTGATGCCATTGATGATGATGATAATGATGATGATGGTGATGGTGCTGATTGTGCTGGTGGTGGTGTACTGGTGGTGGTCATGATGATGATGATCGCGACGAATGCGCGACGAATATTCTGTAATAGTTCTACGGTATACACCTACTTGTGTCTCTGTAACATTGAGCAGTTTCGCCATGCTGGATCGCTCGCTGGAGGAGAGATATTTCTTCTGCTCGAACTGTTTCTCCAGCTCAAATATCTGCCGACCCGTAAACGTCGTGCGCGCCTTCTTCTTCCTGTCGTCATCCGTCTCTTCCCCTTTCGTCTTTTTTCTCTTGCTGTTGCCGCTGCACTTCTCCTTGGCGACGCCCTCTAAACCTGCGAGAACGATCAGTGGAAATCTTTAGAGCGAAACAAAGAAAGAGGAGGCGGAGAGAAAGGGAGAGAGAGAGAGAGAGAGAGAGAGAGAGAGAGAGAGCGCGCGAGAGAGAGAGAGAGAGAGAGAGAGAGAGGACAGAGAGAGAGAGAGAGAGGAGAGAGATGAGAGAGAGAGAGACAGAGAGAGAGAGCAGAGATGGGCGTAACAAAGGGAAGAGAAAGAGGAGAGGAAACAAGAGAGAGAAAGAGAGAGAGAGAGAGAGAGAGAGAGAGTGAGTGCGCGCGCGCGAAAGAGAGAGAGAGAGAGAGAGAGAGATAGAGCGAGCGCGCGAGAGAGAGCGAGAATAATTTGTGCATGAGCAAGCGATGAGGAGATGAGACGAGGTGATGACGTAATACTCGCACACACGTGTTCTCGGCGCGCGTGAGATTCGGGATTCAGACGTATATGGTTATTTTCGCCGGTAATCGTTATCCGTGAAGCGCCGCAAACATTTACGACGGCAATCCGCCGGCGAAATGCCATCGCCGGGAGACTGACAGACTATAGACACGATTACGAATTTAGAACGATGAGCGATCGAGCGGTTAAAGAAAGGCAGCCGATACATATAGACTGGACGCGGGAACCCATGCGGACACAATGCAGCGACGCAATATTGTTGAATTCACAGCGCACACGAGCGCTAGTGTGCGGCGCGAATTGCGGTACCGTAATCGAAAACGGCGTAAATTATAGCGACGTCATCGCTAAAGCGGCGCATATTTTAATTAACGCCATCGCTAAAGCGGCGCGACATACATTGAAGTCATCGTATATCGATGCAAAGTAGAGCGACGTCGTCACAAAGCGGCGAAAATTAAAGTGACGTCATCGTCAAGTGGCGGTCATGACGCGATTCAGAGCAAGAGGTCGTATTCATCGCAGCGCTATGACCACCGTGGGTGGAAGAGTGGGGGTGGCGGGAGAGGAGCTGGTGGATAGAGAACGTATTACGGCTCAGCATTGCATCGTTTCCCCGCGCGAAAGTAATCGCCATCTAAACAAGTTACCGTCAAGCATTAACACGGGCCTAATGCATTGATCGCGCCCTCGATTGCCGAGTAGAGAGCAGCGAAGAGAGAGAGAGAGAGAGAGAGAGAGAGAGAGAGAGCAGCGGAGAGAGAGAGATGGGTAGAGAGAGGCGCATGCACACAGAGAGGAGAAATGGGCTGCGACGCACACACCGTTACAAATTATATAACGTAATTCATATATCGACGATGCTATGCAGCCTATAATGTTAGTGTCTTACGTAATATATATAATATTATATAGCAGATCATCCTGGTAACTAACAATACACAGTGTGTTGTATGTTTAGGCATTTGACAATACACTGTGTATTGTTAGCGAGCTTTCAACAATACACTGTGTATTGTTGAACACCTTCTAACAATACACTGTGTATTGTAGTAGGTACCTATGAGCTTTCAACAATACACTGTTTATTGTTGAACACCTTCTAACAATACTTTTTTTTTTAATTAGTTTACTTTTTGATTTGTAAACTTGAAATTGACATTTCTTTAAATGAATTTATTGAAATTATTTGATTGATTTTATTAAATTTATTGAAAATGAAATTGAATTTAAATACACAGTTGTTAGGTACCTACTACAATACACAGTGTATTGTTAGAAGGTGTTCAACAATACAGTGTATTGTTGAAAGTGTATTGTTAGTAATACCAGGATTATCTGTATATATATTATATGCTCAAGAGCTAATAATGTATGTAATAATAATGCATTCTTAGCTCTTGATATATTTGATAGCGAGTGGCTGTGAGGTGGCGTGTATAGGTGTGTTGGTGCGCAGCCTTGCTTTCCGCTCTCTCAAACAGAAGCTTAGCGATTCTGCCTATCCGCTTCAGTCGCAGAGAAGGACTTTAAGATCGAGTTTGCACGCTATCAGACTTTACGTGCGACCAGCGCATTGATATCCGCGTGGAGAATGTCAACAGCGCATATAATATGCTCGTCGCGGCAGAGTGTCAGACTCGCTACACTTGTGTGCGCAACGTGTGTGTGTGTGCGTGTGGGCCAGCGTGCGTGCGGTAGTGGGGGGGGCGTATATGTGCATTCGAGGATGCGTGCCTGCGTGAATGCCTGCATCGTACCTGTGGGCGTGCCTGTGCTCGCATGCGTGCGTGCGTGCGTCCGTGCGTGCGATTACCATCCTTAAGATGCATCGAAGGCTATCGAAGCAGACTAATTGCGTCTATATGTATATATATATATATACTTCATTATCGCGTGACACGTACGTGAGTTACGATGTGTCTCAAGTTGTCAGCGCGAAACACTGTGACTTTGTAAGCAGCTGATAAAGAGAAGCAAGCAGCGAGTAAATTCATTGCATTGCATTTCATAGAGTAAATTGCATGCAGCCGTGACGAAATTAACACGTTCCGCTACGCCTCATGTCTCGCACCTGCTACTAAACTATTGTAGACGCGAATTGCCGTGTAACGTTGAATTAAGAGTTCATGTACTAGAAATGATGAAGTAGAAATCCAAACTTGTGTATTAAACTGAATAAACTTTAATAACTTGCACACAGTGTAGTCACATCTTGCACAGAGAGACAAAGACACGCACACACGCGCCTAAGCGCGTGTGCTTTCTCCCGCGACCACAACCAGACTCCCCCTCCTACATCTCTCCCCTCAATCTCTCCTAACCTCCTATATATTACCCCCAAAACCCCTACATCCTGACCGCACATGTCACCCGTTCTCCCAGACCGCGTCCTACCCTCATTTCACAAAGACCCTAGAAACGCCCGACCTAAAACACGTTTATCATTCTCCCTATAACATCAATCTAGCCGCACAAGATGCGCGAAGCTCTGTCTACATAGACTACCACCAAAACAACCCTGAGTCTACCCGCACTCCGCGTCTCTAACTAATTTATGTAACATCTGTAAATCATATGTTACATTATCTCCCCTTCCCCAAGACGATGACTACCCTGTCATCGATTCAGCGTCCCCGCTGATCTACACTTCAACCTAAACCTAAACAATTACTAAAATACATATGAAGCATAAAGTTTTCTATACAAAACAAGTAACGATAAAGTTCGATCACCATACAAGTCAGAAATTCAACACATTTGGCAGTGAACATTTTGATATCAAAGCAATTACTCTCACTCTTGCGTCTTTTTATGCTATAACGTACGTGGCGTATGCGTATACCGACACGCATTACCGAAACGACGTTTAGCCATGTGCTCCATTATATCCTCATTTAAACCTCTTAATCCCATTATTACACACCGCACCGATGTGGACCTGACAACTTTTGTCACTTCCACACATCATACAGCCAAAAAAAAAAATACGAAAAACTGATTTCATATTTTGGATGAAATGTTTTAGGCCTATCAAACTCTAATTGAAAAATTTGTTTAGCAGTCTGACAATATAGCGTAAACGTACCGTTAGCACAAATTCAAGAAAACGATCACACATTTCGACACAAAGTTTCACACAAAAGATTTTCCCACACAAATACAAATGGTCACAAGCATATACCATGAAAAAAAAACGCGTACATAAAACAAAGAAAAACGGATAAAAATACACATTCCTGATGATGTCACCCTTTCACGTCCAGTTCACCCTTCTTTTTTTTTGCCATTACAGTTCGCAATTTATCTTTCACGTCCTCTGTCTCTGCTCTGTCAGCCTTGCCTTCTCTATTCTGCTATCTTCTCTCGCTCACACACAGATCGAGACTCGGACTTGCCCTCGCAGTATCACGAATACAACACCGGCCGTTCCTGCCTTCACGCTGACTTACTCACAGTAGTTCCTATGCCGTGTGTATCCACCGTTCTCTCTCCCGCGTCTCGCTCTGTTCCTCCCGTCTCGCTCTCCGCCATTCTTCGGCTCTGTCGATCGCTCTCTGTCGTTCTTCGTTTCTCCTACTCTTGCTCCTGTTCCCGTCTCTCTCTCTCTCTCTTCCTCCCTCTCTCTCTTGCTCTCTCGTCCGCTCTCCGTTTCCCCTCCAGTTTTCTTGCCAACAGTGTACTCAGCGACTCCTCCTGTGTCTTCTTCCTTCTCCATCTTCCTTGCGTAGTATGGCCCGTAGATCGACATAGTGGAGTACCTTAAGTTGCGTCCGCAAAGGAATACCCCGGTTTTTGACTGTCACTGGCACTAAAATGTAATGTTGAATTAATGTTCGATGTAGAAATGATGAAGTAAAAATCCAAACTTGTGTATTAAACTGAATAAACTTTAATAACTTGCACACAGTGTAGTCACATCTTGCACAGAGAGACAAAGACACGCGCACGCGCGCCTAAGCGATCTCTCCTAACCTCCTATCATTATATTACCCCCAAACCCCTACATCCTGAGCGCACATGTCACCCGTTCTCCCAGACCGCGTCCTACCCCCATTTCACAATGACCCTAGAAACGCCCGACCTAAAAGACGTTTACCATTCTCCATATAACATCAATCTAGCCGCACAAGATGCGCGACGCTCTGTCTACATAGACTACCACCAAAACAACCCTGAGTCAAGCCGCACACCGCGTCTCTAACTAATTTACGTAACATCTGTAAATCATATGTTACAGCCGTAATCGTATAACGAATAGTACCTTGCGTTGTGACCGCAATAACCCAGGTTCGAATCCTGGTCACAGCACCAAAATGTAGACACGAATTGCGCACTACACGCACAGAAGTTGAATGAAGAACTGTAGGAAAGCTAGAGAGAAGACAAAGACAAGAAATAACTGGAAAAGAGTGATTTACTCAAAGTCTATAGATAAGAAATACAAGTCTCTCTCAGTGAAACTCGACGTGAACAAACTTAGAACGAGATAAACAATAAAACCCCATAGTACGCACTTACAGATTCTCTCAGCACTTGTTAACGAAAATCTACCGAAAAGAGGTGCGCTCTACTATTTATACTAAGCCGCCTGCTA